TGTGGACTGATTCCTTCTCGGATTACCTAAGCTGATCGGGTTTCAGTGGGCTAAAAGTAGTTTAAAACGTGAAATTTCCGGTATAAAATAAAACATTTGTTATGTACATGGATTTCGGAACTAAATTTCATACAAGTTTCAATTCATTATGGAAATTCTAATCTTGGATGCATTCCTGTTTCAAAATTAAAAATAAACATAACTAACAAGGCAATCAGTTCACCTCCAACTCTCTTTCAGCCGAAGAAAAAAAAATCTCGTCACGTAAAAAACAAGGAAATACTTACCTTTTGTAGATCCAGATGAAGTTGTTCATTCTCTTCCGTGAGACCAGCGAACGTTTCTCTCTTGTTTTGTTTGTCGTTGTTCGTGTCGGACTGGAGTGTTTTCAATTCATTTCGCAGCGTTCTCAAATCTGCTTGTAGTTCATGAACTCTCGAATCGCTCCCGTTTTGCAAACGTTCCACTTTGAGTTTAAGCTCGTATTTATCTTGTTCCAGTGCCTAAGAAAAAAAACTCAGAGGTTAAAATTCCGTGATGACAAAAATCGAACGCGAACTTACCGCAACCTGCTCTCAACAAATTCATTCGCGCGTGTAAAACTAAAAGCGGATCTAGCAACAAAAAAACAACAAAAACGTACTTCGACTGCTTGAGAATATTCCTCCTGTAATAATTCATACTTCTGGCTGAGCTCTTCGTTCTTCTCCAACAAAGCTTTCCCAAGCTCTGCAGCCAAGAGAAGGTCCTTTTCCTTTTGCGCTAACTGCCGATAGACATCATCCGCTCCGTCATCGTCTCCGGCGAAAATCTCTCCATCTTCGTCTGACGCATTACAATGGAAATCCCGCTCAAATCCGTCACAATCCTCTCCATTCACATCTTTATCACCGTGAAAATTTCCTTCACCAATTTCATATCCATTCATATCCAAAGAGTAAACGATTTCTGGTGGGATCTTCATTTGCTTCAATGCCAGCCGACCGCCATAATTTTCACGCATCAATAAGACCTCGCACATGACAAGAGAAGAACAGACGTAATGTTTTGCGTAAACGAACTGAACCGAATTTGCATGAACGTTCAATTGTTTTCCGCTGCCAGGAGGAACGTCAAAGTGACTTGGCAAACTGTTTTGTACTATAATGCAAATCCGCTCGATTTATATTCAGCTTGTCGGCCAATCGCACGTTTTTTCCTCCCCGCGGGCCAATCAAAAAAACTTTGCGGAAGTAATGCATTAGACAGCCGAACGCGCCAACGTCATAGCAGGTTTTTAGCGCATACAAATTAATTGTTACAACTTCGATTTTTTCACGCTTGTCTCTTCTTACACTAACACTTTTGATAGAGGAAAATCTTAAAGTAGTAATCTTGATCCGCTTCTCGATAATCAAACAGTAAACAAAAAAATATCACTTCGTTCAAGCGGCAACTTTCAATATAGACGTACAACCGACAGCATGAATATCTTCACTTCATTTCAACCACAATGTATGAGTAAATGATAATATAGAACTGACAATTACAAAATACTAAGAAGAAAGGTTACACGATTCAACGCTTTCATAATTTTTTTTCGCAATCGGTCAAAAGAAAAATGCATAAATTGAAAAAAATTAAAGAATGACGTCATATGATTGACGGAACTACTCAATTTACCCGAGGGTCTAAAGCGAGTCAGAAGCGAGTCACGATCCATTTAGACAGGGGCAAATAAACGATATTTTTATGAATATTACTTACACATTTCAGGAAAGAGACTAAGCGATACTCTGAGAGTGCAAAATGTGAATTATCTGTTCAAAAAATATTGAAAACTTAGTTGATACTGTGTAATGAACTTCAGCAGCTACAACTTAAAAAAAAGAACAGGTCATGAACGTCGAAAATTATTAACTTTTAAAATCAGGGGATCAAACTTGCTTGAAAATAACTTTTGCTGTTGCTTTGAAACTTCCCGTTTCCCGACCATACCATTCCTCAGCAGTTCCTGTCAGTAATCAAGTAGAAAGTACAAATACAATTTTTCTGCCCGGATTAAGCCAGAGGTTCTTTTTCTTTTCTTTTCTTTTTTTTTTCTTTTCTTTTTTTTTGCAAGAAATTAATTTCTATTGAAAACGAATTATCAGTAAGCCCGCCTCTCTCGCACCGCGTAAATTTAAGAACTCCTCAGGAATCCTGCTGACTTCACTTATTACGCCTGTCAACGGTAAAGAGTCATTATTTAAGAGAATAGAACATCAAACCTAAATTAAGGGCCATGTTTCATCGAGTAATAGCGATCTTATCAGTTTAACACTTCCACGCCAGAACGCAACTGACAAAAATAGCTGCAATGTAAATATCATGACTTCATGGAATTTTTGATAAGAAACTCTAAGTAAATAATACTTAGTCACTTATAGACCTGTGACGGAATCGGATGTTCAAGTCTGTTCATTTGATAACCGATGTAAGTGATGTGAATCATCAATGACTGCGTATATTTTTATCGAAATCATATCGAACATATCTCGGTGTAGCTGGGAAAAAGGACAGCTTAAGATTGTCGCGTCTTCTTTCTGGATATTTACAAAAGGAGTTGTTGTACTTGCAATGGAAACCAGATCATTGATAGTCACTGACCTTCGTGACATGGTAATCTCGGAAATTCCCATTTAGCTGACTTATTCCCACAACAAACAGGCCATAACGTATTAATTCAAGAGCAACTCTAACTCGAAAGCACGATCAAAAGTTCGAGAGCGCGAGGGAACTTTTTCTTTAATTATAGACGGGGATGATCAGTGGAAGTAAATATACAGAGAAAATGAGTTGAACAACAAAACGGGATTTCAAGTCAGAGACCTTGAGTAGAAATCAGTTTAAATTACGGTCTAGTTCTCCTATTACAGCAAATCCAAAACGAAGCTTTTAAAACGAAAACGCTCCTTCTGTCCTTGGCAAGTCAGTGCTGGTGTTTTCTCTCTGTGATTACTACTATTTTTTTTAAAGAGTACTCTACTGGCTGAAATTCATTTGTTATTGTTAGTTCTTTTTCCCTTAAATTTTCCAATTGTTGCGGTTTTCTAAAAAATTCAGCTTTAAATGCCTAGAGAATGAGGCCAAGTGAAAAAGAAGAGAACTTAATTTTTCATTTGGTAAATTTTCACCTCTCACCTTCAATCAGTAGAAGCTGTTACATAGCAGTTTCAAATTTGACGCAAATCCAACAGTTGCGTCAGATAACAGCTGATTACACCACGATCATCACAGCAGCTGATCACTCATCACAGTCGCAATAAACCCGACAAGCCAATCACAGAAGCAGTTGAGAACGCGCAAACCATGTGAGAACGAGGGAAACAAGTCTTGCCCACAACGGGGGACAAGATTTTTAGCTGATGTTCAATAGTTTATAAATAAAGAAGCGAGTTTCTATGATCAGTCATCCTTTTAAAAATATACTTCTTACCTTAACCTGCATTCATCAACCTGTTGTTCAATAGTTTATAAATAAAGGAGCGAGTTTCTATCATCAGTCATGCTGTTAAAAATATACTTCTTATCTTAACCTGCACTTATCAACCCGTTGTTTCTTATAAGAAAAGAATTCGGCTGTTTCCTCTATTTCAGTTTAAAGTTTCAAAAGAAGCGTGATCAAGAAATTTATTCAAGCATAGCAGAGGTCAAAGTTATAACAGGAAGATAAGTCGCAAAAAGCGATCCCAGTTCCACCCCCATGGGGCGTAAATGTAAGACATTTGTCGTGATTTTGATTAAGAGGTGTTCTTTCCCCCTCCCTTCCCCTCCCCTCCCGTCTTATGTGCATGACGCCGACCATAAAGAGAGAATGCCACACTTTGAGGGCCTCTCAGTCAAAATTTTTTAAGGTCTCAGAAAAGCGGAACAACGAAGCTAAGGTTGATCCGGAATGGAAGGTCGCATTTCTTTTGTATTGGGTCAATAAAACTGAAAGGGAAAGTGGAATGGAAGGCCGCATTCCGTTCGTATGATTATGTAAAAAAAAATGAAAAAGAAAGTGGAAATGCGATACTACTCAGTCAAAATTTTTTAAGGTCTCAGTAAAGCGGAACAACGAAGTTGAGGTTGACCCGAAATGGAAGGTCGCGTTCCTTTTGTATTAAGTAAAGGGAAAGTGGAAGTAGAAGTGCGATAGTATTTCTTGATTTCAACAAAGAAACGAAAGTAAGGTCAAGTAAGCTGACAAGAGATTATACTCTTTTGAGGCCGGGTAAGACCAGGTTTCACCCAGAGCTAAAAGAGACATGGACCACATTAAAATTTTACTTTAGTTCTGATAACTTTCATAACCGAGGTACCATCCACATTAATTGCGTCTTCAAGAGTTTCTCGGCGGTTTCTTCTCAAATAAAACGAAATTAAAATATTTTCGTCCGCCTCATTTTCATCTAATGTCCTCGCCAGTATTCTCTTCACTGAATGTTTACATCTTTGTGCATTTTTCACCTTTTTTAGTTCAAACTAAAACCCCCTTTAATGATGCTAATATCTACAGAAAGTTTCGTTTGTTATTGTTTGTCACCGAGTTTTCATCAGTCTACACTAAGAAATCTTTTGTTGAGTCTACGTTTTCATCAACGTTTTGGGTATATTTTTGGTCAGTCAAGTAAAAATGTATCAAAAAAGTAATTTCTGTTTCTTATGGAACTATGCGGTTGGCTCTAATGCAGGGAAATTTACTCTGTAACAATGAAAACCCAATTCACGAGATGTTTGAAGGGGAAAAATCAAGAGAAAGATTTCAGTGGACTCCATTTTAACTGATGGAGAAGTCACTCTTTATTTGAGAATTGCCTGATGAACCCCTCCATTTGAGCTAATGGTTACTACTGAGACCTATGCCAGATGAGGTGATAAAATAATTAATACTCAAGCATTGTTACAGGAAGTTCCTCAAGGAGCAAACTTATTCTCCATAACCAATATAAGCAATATTTACTCCATACCTCAAAAAGAAATAAACAACAAATATCTGAGTTTAGTAACTTCTCTATATTTAATAAGCACAAAAATATCATTAAGTAATATTACCATTCTAGTGATGTCTAGTGATGCCTTTTCCCTGACAAATGTAAAATTTCTCACACTAACTGAAATAAAAAGTTTCAAAAACTAATCCTAGTAGTGGCCTACAACCTCCACTCCCAGCCATCTTCTTTGCCATACCTTTATGTTTTTGGCAAGTCACATACAGTGTATATCAATAGATATTTCCTTAAGTTATAATCATGGAAAAAGGAATGATTTTCTTAGATGCCAACATCAGCTTGCCATTCAATTTCATCAACCTAACTTCTACCATTCCAACCTTTCATGTCTATAAAGTGAATCCAAGAATTAAGAATTTTAGAAAAGAGTGAATTAGAAGATTGAAAAAATGTACAATTTCATTCATAAACCAACATAAACTTGCATCAAAAAGAGAAACTATAGGCTGGTCAGGAATCTGTTGACTGTTCTAAACAGTGTACAGAAGTAATATTAACATAAAAAAGAAGGAAGGTGTTACTATTTTTCATTGTGAAGAGAGCCAGGAAGAGATGAACAATTCCATATTTACTTAAAATTTCACCCATCCCTGACTTCTTTTAAAGATATAAATTTTCTCTGACTCAAAGTGTAATTCTTTGCCTTTCCCGACCTGTAGCAACCATAGTAATCAGGGTGAAGACTTTATCCAGGCCCCTTCTCACTTTCATTGACAAAATGTGTTGCCTTCAACCTTTGCTCAGAACGTTTATCACTCACTGACCAAAAATGCATATAGGAAAGCTATAAGATTGGGGAAAAACCAAAAACCATAAACCTTCAAACTAGATCATTCTACAGGCAAAAAAACTGTCATATAACCCTTAAACATTTGTTTAGTTACTGTTTCCAGCTACAGTCTGTTTTAGCTTTAATTTGCTTAAAATCTACGAACTCATCGGTCATGCTGAACAATTCAGTGTGTAATAGGAAAGTTAACATTATTGTGAAAATAGAAAGAAGCTCAATTGTCCACTAATGATATTTAACCCTTTGACCCCTAAGAGTGACTAATATCTAATTTCTCCTTACAATATCATGCCTGAATCAAACATAAAGGTTACAAGAATAAAGGAAACGATCACCAAGAGGCTTTTGATTGCTAAACAAATTCTCCTTATCAACGCCTAAGAAAATGTATAGAGAACGGTATGGAGAATAGGAATACTGATCTTAGGCTGAAAGGGGTTAAGGCAAAAGATTTATATCCTAATAACGATACTTGGTGGAATAATCCTTGGGTGAAACAACCAAACCTCGGCCTTTCCGCGCTCCACGATAAACAGTCTCGACAATATCAACCATTTCTTGTTTATCTTCCAAAGCCCAGTTGATCTTATTGTTGTTTCCTGTGCCCAAATCAATCATGATGTGTTTGTTTCGGTAGAAGAACATTGTCGTGCAGGGGTCGTACAATTCATACATTTTGTTAAAATCCGGACACTCTGTAATATCCACTAAGTAGATCACCGCAAAGTTCTTCACTTTATCCGCAATGGTGTACAATACTTCGTCCATTTTCATGCATGTCGGATCCCAATCGTGACCAAATCGAATAACCACAACTCGATCTTCTTCCGACATGATTGCCTGGTCAACTTGCCAACCATTTTTGAGATGCTGAAGCATGTAAGACATTTTGAAAGCTGTTCTTGGACCTTTCTTGAGTACCAAAATCCAAATAACGATGAAGGGAAGATCTCAGCCCACTCTGAAGTAGATTCCCCACTGAATTTTCGTTTTCAACAACGTTGCTTTGACGTTGGTGATCAAAATGGCGGAAGCCGGTCGTCCCATCATGCAACAGCGTTTAACAGTACTTCAGTCGTTCCAGTCTTTCAAAGTGAGAGGTGAAAAATTCAACAGGTTACTGAGGACTCGGGAAGACGGATCAAGTTCTCGGAACTAAAAGTATAGTTTCGTTGGGACCTATAATATTGTTAAAATGTCGCAAATGGTGTAAATAAAGAAGAGTTTCGCATTTAGGTGATTTGAGTGATTTCGTACTTAGAGAAATATCTCGTTTCAAAAATTATAGATTGGGATGACAATCTCGGAACAAACGAACAATCTTTAGTTTTTGATACTTAAAGAGATTTCATAACAAGCCAAGAGGGAACTTATTCAGTATTGAGTCCTCTTCCATGGGAAAAAAGTAGCAGCACTTAAGTGGCCCTTTTTTAAAATGAGTGGTACTCATCGTTATGGTTTTGCTAATGTTAAATAAATAGCCTGGGAGGGGAGAGATATTGAATCAGAGACTCACGAAGGTGGAGAGAGGATGAAGCTAATGGGGCAAGGAAAGTGGGGGATACATCAAGACTTCGCACGAGCCTATTTTATGCTTCTTATGTCTCGCATACCCTCAGAGAAAACAAAGAAAAACGTTATTTTTAGGCAGAGCATCATGTAAAGATCTTTGTCAAATTATCTGTATATTTCCTTAGACGTAATTAATAGGTGTCATTGTAGTATCACCGGGTATTTTTTTACTAAATGCGCTGTATTTTGACGAGTCTGGTAGTTAGATCATCAGAGGTAATTATTTTAAGAATGCTTATTGTAAGTCCTAAAAATAACACATCTTAAGTTCCGCAACTCTAAAACCTTTACATTCGGGGTAGGTATCGTTTCCAATACAAACAAAGATTGGTCTGCTTTTCAGAGGCCGTTTGAGACGGTTTTAAGATCGTAAAAATAGCTCAGAAACCGCGATTTACGTGAGGAAATAAATTTTTTCAGGAAGACTAATTTCTTTAAATAGCAAGAGTGATCAGTCACTTGAGCGACATGTTTGCTAATTTCAATGATTCACGATCGCGCCAAGTTTGCGTGTCATTCTCTCGGATTTGAGAAAACCGGTAGAAAAACTGACTACATCTCAGATTCCCTGTATATATTGAAAGAATATTTGAGGGCAGAGTTCTTGCCTCAAGGTGAAGAATTCAAGATTCATCGTTCTCTTTTAGCGACGGTTCGTTTTAACTTATCGGTTAAATGATAATGAGATCTTACCTGGTTTTATGGTAAAGCAATCAAATTTTTTTTCCGGTTCGGACTAGGCCTTAGTCAGAACTTAGAGTGGAAGTTCGAAACGTTTACATATTGTATTCCAAACATCTTCCACTCGCTCTTCTTTAACAATACCGAATATTGGCGCGATATAGCTAATACCGTCGATTTTCCAATTAAAACGAGTAGCATCATCGTATATTACGATATGCCGCATTCTGTAAGAGTCTTGAGTGTCTGACCCATGTTGGTGGTCGTATAAATGATGCTAGGACATGCGGTAAAAGAAAACATGTACTTCTTTCGGCTAAAGCTTTGTATCTCATTTCATAATCATGTATTTTGATATGAGAAAAGCTCATTTGCGTTTACCCTCAACACGTATTTCAATACACTTCCACATTGCCATAGTTAAGTTGATAGAGCTTGTCGGTTGATACTCTTAAAATATAATCATTCTAAGAGGATAGTGTTCCTGCCTCAGCGCTTGGAAAGAACCAAAAATGGCAAACAACATAATTAATTACAGTTCCACAAAGATTTTAAAGTACCACTTTTATGTGTAAATATACTCTCCCGCATGGTGACCTTTTCCTGGGTTGAGGCGACTGATTCCCCTCCACAAGAGCAAAAAGGAAAAAAAAAAACCGATGTTGGACTAATTAAGGATATAAATAAAGCAGTAACAACAGTAAGAATACTGTTCACCGATATAAACCTGCTGTTGAACCAATATTGGTTGAGGAGTTTGGAATCGTTACATCCAGGGGTCCTGAATCAGCACATTTAGTCCAGAGGGTCTTAAAACCTGCTCTTTTCCTCCACGGCTATAGGTCATCATCAAGTAATTTCTTCTGTTATGTCTATATATTTGATTGGCGTGATTTACATTAAGGAATGGTCTTAAATTTTCCATCTGATTTCCCTATATGGGGCTATGCCCAGATGTTGCTAATAATGTTGATAGTGACCCGCATTTAAATGGCGACATGGAAAGCCCTCAAGGGGTGTTTTCCTTTTTTTAAATTTCCCAGCACGATGGGAAATTAGCAATATCAACACGTAGCTTTCATGTAAAATTCTTAAATAATATAGTGTATCACACATCAAAATTTCTTTGTCCACCGGCCGAAATAATTAGGACGAAGTTCGCGACATCTGGAATGAAAATCTCTTTTTTCTATCAAGCAATTTTGGTGCCGGATTTATGCTTTTACGTTAAAAAAAAAAGCAAAAACAACAACGAAAAACTACTGGAAAGCAACAACAACAAATAAAAGAAGAAACGAAAAACCACAAACTTCGTATCTATTGTTTGTTTTTGTGTCAAATAGTTCATCCATGTGCAATATACATAATCATCTGATCGAAGTTCAAGTTTCCTGTTGACAAATCCAGCCACAAATCTGCCCACACCCCACGAATATAGTCAAGAAACACAACGCGCTTCATATCGTCGCCGAAGCATGACCAGCATCTAACTTCTCCTTACAGTAACACGACTGAATCATTTATTAAGATCATGAGAATAAAAGAAATGATCATCAACATAAGAAGCTTCGATTGTTATGTAAATTCTCCTCATAAGAACCAAAGGAAATGTTTAGAGAAGAGATTGGGGAATATGGATACTGATGTTAGGATGTTGGTTGCGTCTCTCTCTAATTGGGTCGTCGAATGATAGAGTCAGAAATTTTACGAAGGCTAAGACAAAGAAAAAAAAAAGGCCCTGATATCTTTGACAGAATTTGCCTTTCTGCCAACGTCATCAGTTCTGAGACACCAACAACAGTTGATTAGAAAGATAGGACAGCTACATTCCCGTTCGTTGCTGTCCATTTTGACGATGTTATTGTCAAGTAATTCCATTAAATTATGTACTTTTATTAAAGATAAAGTTCCACATCAGTACCTTAGATTTGCCGTATAATATTTATCAGCAAAATGATTTAAAAACCAAGCCCGCTCGCACATCTCGGTGGTAAAATAGTTAACGTTCTACACCGTAGCTACATGATTTAAGTGCTAAAAACTAAAAAAAATTAACTTAAATTTTTTTTCTTCAAGACAGGTCTATTCCGGCTCCTCCTTGATCTCGATTGACAAAGACGGCCTGTTCTTAAAATTGAACCCGTGTCGCTGTCTACTTTGAAGTTTTGACCGCAAGTCTAAAGTGGGTTTTTCAGTCCGGACTTCCATTTTATTTTCTTTCTTCTCAATTCTTCCTTTCCATTTATCCCTCTTTTCTCTTCTGTCGTCGTCCTCGTCACTTTCGCTGTCGTCATCTTCGATAGCATCAGCGTGCATGCGCATGCGTAGATTTCCCGGTTCATTCCTTTCCGGCTGACCGTCGTTGTTGACGACAATCTTAAGCGGAGGTTCGTCGATATCCATTTTTTCTTCTTTTTCAGTATCAATCTTGTCGAGGAAGACAACTTCTGGACCACCTGAATACATGTGCTTCACTCGCTCCTGTTCTTTCAATAATTTCCTCTTTCTGGAAAAAAGAAAGTGTAAAGAGTGCTGGATTGAGTTTCGAAACATAAGTAATCCAAAAGTGTTTGTACGGTTTTCATTTCCTGCGTTCAGCGATTGGTTTAAATGATATGCTACCTCCTCCATCAATCATAGCGGAGCTCGCAGAGCGTAGCCCCATAATTATACAAAATAGTAGTGGCCCATCAAGCCGAAAAAATTTGGATGTACGACCGTACGACCGACCGTACAAGGTGCTACTTTTAGCATGCGCGGCCAACTGTACCATGGGCACTATCTTATAATCAGTCCTCTACAGGGACACGGAGAAGTTGCGAATGAAAATCCATTAATATTAGCACGCACTTTATCCATAGTAGGGGCTTTAGTTTTGTTGAAGAGACGTGCGGGGAAAAAAAATGCGAGCTCCGCTTTTAGGCTTGCCTAAATCTCTATATCATGTAAAACCGCTTTGGTCGCACTCCTTTTGCCCACCATTTTGCCACAACTGACGCTTGTCACGTGCATTTGTTTTGAGCTTTGATTGGTTCCTCGAGTTAAAGCTTATTCTGATAGGCTAATGAAGTCGCTTGTAGCTTCTACTAGTAACCTTAAGAAATTAATCACCTTGATGAACTGACGATGCCTTTTCTTCTTCCTGAAAAAAGGAGACGATGAAACGATAACCACGTGTCTTTCAACAAACTTTACCAACAACATAAAAATCAAACAACTTTACGAAAGCAAATCACATAAAAATGATGGTCATTCAAATAACAAGGCAACTGTTTCTAACTCTGTTCAAGCAAAACTCTTTATTAGGGAAGAGGGACGAGAGAACGGAACTTAGCGACAGAGTAAGCCTCAGAATAAGAGGATATCCACCTTGTCCAGTGTTTTTTGCTTTACCATTGATTAAGTAATACATGCTTCTTCCGGCTGCCCCTGGTAGTTTCTTGTCCTCTAAAACATTTCAAAACGACATAAAATGAGTATCACGAAACCTTGACCTTTTCACGTGCTGTTAAAAACTGCGCCAGGTTATTCAAAACAGGATTAAGCAAAGCCGGGGTTAGAGAAGGATCTTTAATTTAAGCCAGGTGTGAAGACCGGCGAGTCTGGCGAATGTTAGCTTGAATTGTCGCAAGTATTGCAAAAGTTGTACATGGTCTCGAAATTTTGTCTTCCAAACGCAAATATAACACAAGTGCAAGAAACAATACAGGAAATGGTAAGATTTTCAATGCCTTGCATTAGCGCTTGGGTTTGAATATGCATTAAACGTGTCAACCACACTAATGTAAGCGTGCGATGAACAACCCGGCTCTGTTCGTCGTTCTAGTTCAATGCCGAAAACAGTTCAGCCAGCCATGGTCTGCGAAAAAAGAGTATGACTTAATTTAAATTACCAATGCAAGCAACCTACTTTTCGTTGCCAATCGTAAGAGGAGACATTTAGCTTTGGGATGAGGAGGGCCTATCTTCCATCTGACTTCCACAGCGTCACTGATATCCTCATCTACTTAATATCAAACGGTAAATAATGGTTAGGTGGCAAAAAAGAGTAACTTTCAATTGGGTGTCGAAAATAATCCGGAAAAGATGTGGCTTTGCTTTTTGTCATTCTGATTAGTCTAGAAAACTTGCGTTCATCTATCAACCAATCAGACGCAAGACTAAAATCAAACCGGACTTTGACGACTGCGTTTTCCCGCGCTTTTGATTGTTAGCTTGTTTGTTCTGTGAATTCTGATTGGCTGCTAATGATATTCTCTTTTTTTTCTCATTGGCCGGTATAAGAACTATAATCTAGCATTTATAAAACTCAATTGAAAAGCGCTCTAGTTATTAGAACACTATAGAGTTTGGCCTTTTTTGGAAAGATTTGGGTCCTCTAAGAAAAATACCAGCGCACTTAAGACAGTCTCGCATTTTGACTAAACTTTACAAAACAAGTGGGTAAGAAAATTACCCAAGGCCAAGATGACAGTCCAAGATAGTCAGAGTTTAAGAAATATCAGAGAATTCATTGTATTCTGAATCATCCAAAGCAACCTAACAAACAAAAGTGTTTATGTTGAGAACTACCATCAACTTTTTTAAAACCTGCAATTGATCTTCAGAGTATCCCTTGTTTTTATAAAGAGATCAAAGTTTTTTATCACAAGGCATAAAATTTAAGAGGAAAACTGTTTCTTTGAGTAAATGCATTTGAGAATTCACCTGTTGGGTTTTCTAATTGTTTTCCGACTGCCATCAGAACTCTAGAAGCAGTGAATTCATCATCCCAAACTACATTACCTTCAAATAAAAGAAAAAAATTTTGAGGAAAAGGATTTAAAAATAAATATCCTGGTTAAATTTCACAGAACTGCATAGTATCTTAGCTTGTAGGACAACCAAGCTTAAACAACTACTTTTCGAAGCTGGAGAAACTTTGAGGCTGCAGAAAAGGTTGGGAATCAATTTTCTACAGTGATTTTGCAGCAACAGCTTCTGCATTAAGGTTTGTTCATAAAGGAATGGTGCCTCCTTTCACCAAACAATTACACCCAGTGTTCCTACCAGCTATGCAAGCTTGCAATGTTAAGTTGATGTGCACTGCAAGGGCAAATCTAAGAGAGGAGTGTAGGCACCCCCCTTCTCCGCATCAAGGTTACACAAAATCTGCTGTATCATTAGCTTTGCATTCTCAGCAGTTTTTAATATGTTATTGCTTAGTCATTAGCCTCCTTCTTCATCAATCCCTTTCAAAATTTGTTTACATTACACATCCTCAATGGTGCACCCCCTACAAAAAAAACCTGGATCTGCCCCTGCAGTGCACTTGGCTGTCAATATACTTGAAAAAAGAAAGCAGAAAGATATAGTGGGTGGCCAGGTTATCATGGAAGCCACATTGTTTTATCAGATTACACCTTAAGCTAAGAGCTGTTCAACTAAGATGTTCTGAGCATTCCAGGAATTTTTCACAAACCTTCCAGCAAGGTGGAACTGACCAACTAACATTTTTAAAACTGTTTAAAGTAAATCACATCCATATAATTTCACTTAAGAATTGGGAAATGGCTATCCTAAAAATTTCTTCAGTGGTATTTCAAAAATTGTATGGTTTGTTTGCAAAATGAGGTGAAAGTAGCTGGCTAAAGGTAACAGATATGCCGGCAGTTTTGGCTGACTATTTACTCTTATTAACAGCTCTGGCAGTGTAGAGTAGACAACACTTTTCTTTTAGAACAATAGAAAAGCTATGGTTGTGTAATTTGCATCAGTGTCTGGCTTCAGCAAATAATCCAAACCTCAGCCTAGATAATTCTCATCCATTAATCACTGTCATTTGTTAGATTACTGAGATCAAGGACTTACATGAAGAATCATCAATCCATTCTACAGACCCAGGGGCAAAGTCTCTGAAATATGCAAACACATCCTCTGTGCTCATCTCGTTCACGCCATGAATAAGAATGGCATCTGATCTGGTCTCACCTTCAAACAAAGAGCCAGTGTCAAGTGTACAACATGATGTATGATTTGCATAATAAATAGACCCTTAGCAATAAATAAAAGCACCTTTCATATGAATGCTGAAAGGAATATATATTAATTGATTTGCTTTTTTTGTGACCAATGTGAGCAAATGACTCCTGATCCTTCAACCATGCTTTAGTCTCCATGCTTATGGCTGTTTTCATGTAGTCACACAGGTTCCCACCATTTCCTTCATAACTGGACCTTTGTCATGTCTAGACCTTAGGTTAGGATTAAGATACTCAATCAAAAAGCTCTCTATTCAAAAGAATACTACCAAGTACTACTGAGATATCAATACATGTTATTAATTCTGAAAAAAATTCAGACTTTTTTAATGTTAAATACTTCATGGGCAATTGATATGGGGAGAAAGACCCTACTGGTTTGTTGATTAAAAAAAATGGACTATGAAGAAACAGCTTTAACCCTTTATACCCTAACATCAGTATGCATATTCTCCATACTGTTCTCTAAACATTTCCTAAGATGCCAACATGGAGAATTTGCCTAACAATCAAGAGCTTCTTTAGTCCAGGATCAACTCCTTTATTCTCCTGACTTAAAGGTTTGATTCAGGGTGATATAGTAAGGAGAAATTAGAGGCCAGTCACTCTTAAGGGTTAAAGGGTCAATTTACCATCAGTAATGGCAGGCAACTCCTTGGGATCAACAGATGGCAGTCTGAAAAAAAACAAAAAAAAACAGCCAATAACAAATAAGCATAAAACTTTCTAAAAAAAAAAAACATGAAGTACCGTTAAGTAAGAGGTTACTACATGGAGAACCCAATAAATATAACAAAAAATCTGAAAGTGAAAAGGCACATGAAAGAAGTGGTGCACAGCAGCTGTAATTTATGCTTTTCATACAACTATTTCCCCCTCCCCCCTCTCTCATTCTCTCCCCTCCACTAACCCTACCCCCAAAACAATTGTAAAAGACAGAATGGACAGGTGGAGAAGGGAGGAGTTTAGTGTATAAAGAGCCTTAATGACCATAGGAAAGGAGACTTAACTTGTCCACCCCCAGATCTCATCAGAAATTCTCCTCACTGTCTGCCAAACAATTCTTATAATGTTTGTTCTAAGAATTTGATACTGGATAAACTACTAATCCCCTAATTGACATTTTTCTTAATTCTCAGTGCTTGTCTCCTTCAGATACTGTATTGTAAGGAGAAATCCTGCCTTGGTCACTTATCAGAGTTAAAGGATTAAGAATCATATACTTCTCTGAGTTAATACACCTACACTGTATCTGGGTCATCCTCAGAATGACTGTCATCCTTTTCTGTGTCTTTCTGTTTTGCCTGAAGGCCAAATCTTTTCGCCCTTCTTTCTTTCCTTTCCTGTGCTTCCTGTGAACCAAAGAGAATGACATTTGTATGATGGAAATGAAAAGAATCTTTCTTAAAAACAAAACACAAAAAAAGACCTTGCCAGGGTGCACACCCAGACATTACAATCCTCCATGCAAGCCTACACAATGGCACTGTCTACCACTCAAAGAGGTGGTTGATAACTCCTGAAGTTTTAATGCAAGCAACAGGAGATTTTGCAGCCTATATCCACCACAAATGACATCAGATGTAAGGAACCTTTCCCCTGTATATCACATAACGTTTACTTTCGTATTATAAATTGTGAGGTGTATGTCTGTATTTGAAGGCATGTGATATATAAATAAAATTACCATTGGGCTCGAAAAAAAGGTCCAAGAAAAATAGAAAAATAGCCAATTTTTTAAAGAGAATTTTAAGAAATAGATATTCAGTGGCTGGCTTTCAAATCTAGGGAGATCAGAAATGTCGAATGTTAAATGTCAGATGGATTAAATTTAACGAATTTCGTTGAAGTAACTTGAGGCCATGGTACTGTAGCTAAATTCTTGGTTGATCAAAACTTCTTGGAGTTTAATAGGAATAAATCCAAACACTTCAAGTTACAAGGTAACAGGAAATCAGTTCCATTTCGACTGAAATTATAATTTAAACACTTTACAACGATATGAGTACCTTCGAAGTTACATCAAATCCTGTCACGAAACACCCAGACTTATTTTCATATCTTCTTTCCTATACGTGCAAAATTCATGGAAAAAAATAATTACATGTTTTTATAGATAATAATTATAGTTAAATTACTAAATATCCTTCATACTTACAAAGTAAAATGGTAAATCTTTCTCCTCTTTGTCGCTATCATCAGCAGGAATTTCAACTCTCAACTCCTCAAACTCCATCTTGAATTAAACTTGTACTCAGACTTCCTCTTTAAGTAAAACATGGCATAGGTCCGCTTTGTGTCCAGGAGGAGCTTCTGTGCTTCAGACCTTTTGAGAACTGACTTGAAGTTGAAGAGGGAACAAAGAAGAAAATAGAATAAAGTCTAGAATAAAAGAAGAAGTTGAAAAGGTTTTTTAAATTATTTAGAAGAGGTCTTAGAAAGGATCACAAGAAAGGCCTCGCAAGAGAAGTCATTAGAATTATCGGGCTCTTACGTAATCAATGCTATCCTTGGTTGCTCAGTCGGGAAGTCAAGCGCTTTTGTCCAGTATGGTTCGGATGGTAAGCTGCATCACGAGAACCTCTCGAGAGGCTACGTATGGCAACGTAATAAAAGCGTGACAGCTCCTTGCTACAATATAAACCATATCCTAGCAAGGAAACCTTCCAATTGGTTTATTTAAAAAGAAAACTTCAAATGCGGCAGAGCTAGTCGTATAAGCCACTTCAGAAGTTCAAAGTATATCAGGTCAGTTTCGAGCCACATCATGATCAACCTAGAGAAGAGCTGCGCATGTTGACAGACGGTTACGGAGTATATAGGGCTGGGGGAGGGGGTCTTAATACAGAAACGTATAAGGTACGTAATAGATCTTTAAACCACTGATGCGCGCTTTGACAAGGTAAAAGACTTTTCTTTCTCGTATTTTCATCAAGATAAGTCGAATTTCAGGATTTATTTTGTAAAAGAGAAATTTATTACAGAAAAACGACGATATTTTGGTTTTTCTCTCCTGGAAATACAGGGATTGAGAAAGATGAGTTAGACTTTTCACAATATCTAAATGTAAATGCTTGATGTAAGGTGTGTAAACTGCGAGGGAATAGTACAGATTCGAAGCCTCAGTACTTTAAGTATTGAGAGTATGGTCGAACCTGCATTAAGCGGCACCGTATTAAGCGTTCACCATGTATTTATCGGTTCGGTTGTAATAGTCCCGAACTTTTCTACTTAATTAACTTTATCATTATGCGGTCGTGGTTACCCTTAACTGAGACCCAACGGCTTATTTGTATTGTTTTCCACCTGAATTGAACGGTCACTTAGAGTGGAACCACACAAATAAAACTAAGAATAATATCTCAGGTCAATATATTCCGTGTTTATCTCCCGAAATTCAATGTTAGTAGTAAGTTTGAGCGAGTGTTTGTACATTAAGTGGTTAATTATGGAATGAAAAGACGTTTCTTTTTTTTCAAACAACCCAATTCTGTGAAACCTGTATTAAGCGTTCAACCTGAATTTAGCGGTCGCCCCATCACTCCTCGCGGGTGAACGCTGAATACATGTTCGACTGTATCACGTGAAGTACCGTTTTTCATTCACTTGCACTGAGTGCTTGAATTACAAAATTCACGTCTTCTTGTCGTTTGATAAGAAGGCTGATCTCTAAACTAATCATAACTTGGTTATACCGGGGCGTTTTCTCACGCACCAGGCAACATTGAGATGGGAGAGAGGGAGAGATAAATGAGAGATATAAAAAGTTAAAAAAAGTACTAGAGCGTGCCAAGAGTTTTGTCACAAATTGAAGTATATAAGTGCTTCACTCGAATTGAGTAATTTTTGTTAATCCTAAGATGAGAACATGGATGCAGAAAACGTGTTTCCTCGGATGTTAGTCTTACATCTCATGGCTAGGTATAGCTAGCGTGGCAGACGTTACCGATGTAGGTCACATCCACACGCCGCCCGTAATCCTTCTTAATCACGAATCTCAATTTAACGCTGCACTCTGGATACTTGCACTCAGCCCCTCCCCTGAAAAACACGGACGAGTGCATCTTACGCGAGTTTTCCGATCTCACGTGATTATTCTTGAAACGCAAACTGCACCATGGGTTGCTTTCCTTCACTTTGTTAAGGAAAATGCGGGTCCAGTCTCCGCTCAGTAGACGGCCACCGCTTGGAAATGACTTAATTGGCATCTTGGCCCAATCTTCCTCTGTCAGCTTGAATCTCGCAGTCGTGCCGTCTATGTTCACTCGAAAGAACGTTTCTTGTAAGTCCTCATCATCTTTGTCTTCTTCAGAAAGATCAGATTCCTAAATGAAAGAAACATAATTTGACATTGGCATTACTCTAATAATTGTGGGAAAAAAAACCTTTAGCAAACTGCACTTACGACCAAGATCTTTCTGCGTTTTCGCTTGTCGACGAGGGATCATGAAATGCAGACCCAAGAGGGGAGGGGAAAATCGTGTCAAAGAAGTTTAAAGACTTGTGTGTAGCTGCACAATAAAGGCTGACCTTCTTATGGGAATTTCACATGAAAACTTTGCCAAAAAGAGCACAACATAGACTTAATTAGTGAGTTGAAAACTAAAGCCAGTGATATTCAGGGTTAAAGAGCGCAATTATAAAATGCACTATTATACAAATACAGTTTGTATTACGTTTTCCAGAGGCCATTTCTGATTTCCTACTGCAAAATGGTTGGATGTTTTCTTTGTCTCCTCGACCTGATTGTGAATTAAAATAAAAAAAAAATTAAAATCTTGCAGCTCGTTATTTTTAATATGGTGGCCGAAGACTATCTTATCACTCTGTAAACTGATTCTCAAAGAGGACCGGTGTTACTGAACCACATCCTGCATCTCATCATCCAGTCCCGCACCCACCTGTTTGCTATGGAGACAGCAGAAAGTGTGGCTGAATCTTGCCCTCCCTTAGCTTTGATCGCACCTTGATGCATTTTTGTCTTCCATCATAAATTAATGCGCATTGCTTGAATTGCGAGTAATATTGGTCAACAGTTCAGTTGATTGACAGCATAAGAAGCATGACACAATTTAGCTGATTAAAAGTCAAACTCGATCGCGGGATAACGCTTCAAATTGAAGACGATAAAAACTTGTCAACGCCTGATGCTGAATTTAAAACGTTTTCCAATGAGCGTGTCTACAGTTGATACTTAAATCAATCCTACCTCTCTCTTTTGAGGAAGCATGATGACCGATGTTCGTGTGTTTTGTATGCCAGGGGTTGTTGGAGGAGACGTCGTTTGTGGTTGGCTCGCTACAACGCAGTGACAACGAGGGCAAGTCCTGGTGAATCCTCTCTCATTGACAGTCGTTTGTTGAGAATTAAAGGGAAGATCCTTGGATCGAATCCTTCCATCGGAGCTTGTTTGGTAAATGAAATTGCTCCCTCCTTCACTGCCTTTCTCGTACACCTGGCTGGCTAATTCTCCTTGGAACGTAGCGTGGTAGAATGGCGCCCCTCCTTGCAACCTAATAGTTTTTTGAGACGAAGTACCAGCTTGGCTGCATGTCTGATTAAGTGGATAGCTCAGTATCGGCTGAGTGAACTGCGAGTTTTCTCTGTGTGTCACCTGATGAAAATTTCTTTCCTCAACATCGTAATTTATTCGTTTGAGATCAGCCCTGGTAGTATGTGTCACCTCGGGACTTTCCGTTTCACCAGATTGAATGCCGTTCCGATCCTTTTTCCCTTTTTCATAAGTCGTATGAGAAGACATCATTCCATTTGGATCTTTCTCCCTAGGATTACCCAAATGATAGTAGGGATTTCTATCCCCAGAGAAGTCCATAGCGTTAGTTGGAATACCCTTGGGATTCGTTCCCCTCGGATCGACTGAATGGCGATCGGGAATCATATTGGTAGAGGTTGTTGGATGAGAATGAAAGGAATGGCTAACAGGTGACCGTATGGTGATGTCCACATCGTAAGATGGGATACCCGTAAGATTCGTTTCCCTTGGATCAGCTATGGGGTTGTATGAATTAATTTCCGTAGAATCATTTGGAAGAGACTGAACTAAATTGTTTACTGGTAAACGTAAGTCCACTGCATACGGTTGCATCCCATTTTGAATATCCCTCGGGTTTAACGTGACTTCCCAGGGATTACTATTAGTAGAACTTGAACATGACGTTTGGTTCGTAGCTGTGCTTCTGTAAGGCTCTGGTCCACGAAATCTTCTGCCACTTTTGCCACTATCCAAGTAGCTTGGTTCTTCTAATCGACATGATTGTACTGCATTTCCAAAATTGCCTCCAGAAGTTTGCATTTCATCTTGAATTTCCGCTCCATATAAGGAAGAAGACTCGTTTAGGTTACTAATTTGATGAGCCGTTGTTGCATTTGAGTAAAATTCCATTTCAGTGATGATTTAACTCGACATCTATCGGCGGAAACGAGTTGGGTTTAAATGTTCATCTGCTTAGGTAACTAACCGCGTGACCGTCTTCGTCAAACAATTTCGGTAGAATGTCTGCAGTTTGAATTTCCTGTTTTTGTCATTATAACGTAAATGTAGCGTGAAGGAAAGTTTTCAGCTGAACTAATCCTCGATAGTGTCAGCCTTTTTCAAAAAGTAGAGCCAGATGAAGTCTGAAACAGAAACAAAGAGGAAACCCAAGTCAGGGCTGGTTCATGAAAAGCCGCCTAGGTGCAATCAGTGCGTCAGACCTAATTTGATAAAGTTAGACTTTGGAACGACATTGAATTCAAATCAAATTTCCATAAGTTCAAGTTTTCAAGGTCGACTGAGTAAAAATACTTATCAAAATAGAAATAGAAGCAAACAATGCAGTGAAGCATGTAAATGATCAAATATAAATAGACAGTAATGGGCAAACATTCAGTGCCCGGAGTGCGGCCAGCCCAGTGTCTTTCTCACAATGGACCTTTGTCTAGCTGTAGCGAACAATCCCTGAACAGAGATGACTTTGTCGTGTTTTTACGTTTAGCCACGTTGGAAACTAATTAGATTTACACGTATGGAGCATCGGCGTAAATAGGCTAAAAAGCTTTTTTCAAGATTACAACAACCGTTGATTAATTTTTTAAAGATCTTTTTTAGGTAAATGTGGCATAAATTAATCTCCGAAATTAGCTCTTCACTCTTCACACTTGTGCCGACAATATCAACACGCTCTCCACTAAAAAAGTAGAGGAGGCGTTATTTTGATATGGAACTGAATTCTCAATTTACAAAGGAATATATAACAGCTGGAAAGGAGAATGCCACTTGAGAACTCTGAGGCTATGGCGATTACAGGATTTGCGTTCACATCCCTGAGCTTCCGCTTGGCTTCACTGCGCGGGAAAATGAGCAACCTCTCTACCATACTAACGTTTGATCGCCAGCCGGAAAGCACTCGAAGAAAGTCCTAGGAAGTGTACACCGCCGAAGCCTTGAAACCCCGACCCTGTCTGACACAAGATCTTTTCATTTCTTCACTCAATCTTAAACAAACATATTCAGGGAGAATACTGAAATGCGATCAGCATTATGCATCGCCAAGGCCTGCATCTTTTTCAAGGCTTTCAGTTTGGAAAGGTCCCCTGTTCAAGAGGTTGTATAGTAAAATTGTATACCTTTTTTAACAGTCGAGACCCACAAAATCTTCCACTTTTTGAGAAGTTTGCCTGTTCAGGCCAAATAATAAAAAAGCTAAAAATAGCGAGACTAGAAGATTCTGAGTCAAAACAAAAAACCCAAAAGTTTAAAGAGCGCCGCTGGGATAACTTCCGGTTTTTCAATCCAGGTTATCCAATATCATTGCCGCCAGAAGGTTTCATTGATTACTGAGATACAATTGTAATTCGTACTCTCGAGTTACTAATTTTAGCCCATGTGATTAACCTGAATTAAAATTAGCACCTTCGAATGGAAATTTGCCGCCTTATATTAAATACGAATTTGCATAAAATACCACGAGCTAAGAGAGTGGTTGTTTTGAAGTAGTTTTTGTCTTTTTTCTGTTAAACAACCAGGCTCGTGACTAAACCTGTCACGGCGAACATGTAAAGACTTCGCCATTAGTGGCTATTAAATTGTATTTACCGATAGGTCATGGCATGGTACAAATGGAAGCATGCACGAACCTCGTGATTTCAGCCGATTTTGTTAAATGCTAGAACCGCGTAAATGGTTCAACCTGTTATATTGCTGTGTGAAAACATGTAAACGATTCCTGGTTGCTGTACAGACCATCTGATTCTTAGTATTTATAATCGTGTTCATGAATTTACCTCCGATAAGTGAAGTTTCCACGAGTGTGTAGCGAGCAGTCTGGAACTGCGTCAAAATCATCAAACTGTGCAAAGATAGACTGATCGCATCAGCTGATGACCATGTGCAATCAAATATAATTCCTTCCTTCCCTAACAGCACCCAAAAAAGTTCAACATCCTAGCTTCACCCAGATCTTACCCAAATTAGGTCAGTACTTTTTAGCTGATTCCATATGAGGAGGAAGGAGCAGTTATAATGAATGTGGACGCCTGATACGTCTACAAAACAAACTGATAATTTAAATGTAGTCGCCGTAAAGTCTAGGGTCTTGTGAAGGAAGATGGGTCAAGATCTAGAAGGCGACACTTTTTGCACATGCTCACGTGACACTGCTGCACAGCACGAAATTTACACGTGCGCGGCACTCATCGTTCGCGCCCCACTCGTCTAAAAGCTAATCCTAAATCCTCTAACCGTCCCCCCCCCCCCCCCCACCACCAGCACCACCAGCACCACCAGCACCACCTTCTCCCTTGTGTTTATCGACAGTTGCCTGCTTCTCTGTAGTATGGTATATTCCGACGAGGCAGGAGATGGGTCCTCTGGACTTCACCGATTACCTCCTCCCCCTGGTTACTGTCGACCATTATCTGCGATTAATTGATGTTATCCAGCACTGTAATTTCAGTATATTACGACATCACAATGGTTTTAATTGAGCAGCCGTTTGCATTGTTTCCCATAACGAAACATTGTTGCATGAAATGGAATGAAACAAGCATGACGCCTATGGCTTTATCTGTTGTTGTGAAATGCCCACTATAGCATGAACCTTTCAACTCGTTGTTTTAAAATGTTAAAAAACTCAAACGATTCTCGGTCCAGGTTTAAACCATCTGATTCTGAGTCAATATAATCTAGTTGATGTAACTACCTCTGATCAGTAAAATTTTCAAAATTGTGTGACCAACAGTCTCGTCTAATATTTGCGTCGAAACATTAATCTGTGTCATCAAAGATCGGCTTTAGAGACTTTGTAATATAAATCCTGTGCGTGTTACTAGCACTTACCAACACTTAACCAGTTCTCCTCAGTTGGAGCTGATTCCTCGAGAGTAATAGGGGATGAGGAGTATGAACACTTAACTTATGCCTTTGCAAAACAAAATAGCTTCGAGCCAGTCACCGTAGATGGCTTCTTATGAAAGAAAATGACTCATGATCTTAAGGTCAACTCACCCAGGCTCGCACGTGCGCACGTGACGCTGTCGTGCTGCTAAAATTTAACACGTGCGCGCGAGACAGCTCTTCGTGTTCGCGCCGCACTCGTTTTAAGGGTAAATCCACTAGGAGAAGCTCCTTAACTGTTCCCTTCTCCCCTGTTTTTATTGAAAATTGCCTACGCTTCTTGGTCCAACGTAACCGCTCGAGGCGGATGGGAGGAGGGGAGGGGGGAGGTATTAGCCCTTTGGGCTTCCCAACTGCTCCGTGAGTTGGATCTCTCCCCAAGCTGCACTTTTGTTGAATCCCTTAAACAGATCCTCTTTGAAATCTTTCATTCACACGAGGTTACTCAGATGTTTCTGACTCCTTGCCCCGTCGACAGTCACTCCATTTGACGGAAGGCAAACGCGCCACCTGATTGGCTGCACCGGCATCCTGTAACAGTAAATAAATGGCTTCCCTGAGACGGAGTACTGAACATTGAACACGATGGTTTTTCTACAAGGATCACCATCTCGAAGGGAAAAGGGATTGTGCCGCCTGTAAAACCCGGCTCCAGCTATTTTCATGTGAAGAATTATACCTTGAATACCTCGTCTAAGGATGAAGCCCGCGAAGAACATAAAATCGTGTGGCAATTCGAGCACCTTTAAAACGCTTTTCTTGATAATTTTAGTACTTGACCTTTTCACTCTTACGATCTCACTGGTAATCCGCCTTACTGTCCACCATAGAATTCGTATAACTTTAGTTCGGAGAATTTGGTATCGGATCAGCTAATAATCCCCTGAATTGATATTTTTTCTCGATTCTCGTCTCTTGTCTGTTCAATATTGTATTGATATTGCAAGGAGAAATTCTTTCTTGGTCACTCATGGGAGTCAAAGGGTTAAATTAAACAAAATAACCGCACGCAATACAGGCTCCCGCTCATAGCAATGCAAAAGGTTGTTTGACTGCTGAGCACACTTCACAAAGATAAAAAAGTGAAAAAGGCATAAAAAAATTCTCAACATTTGGCCATCTGGCTAGTTTTTCCACACATGATAATGGAATACTGATATAACAAGATTAAATGAGTAGAGCGGATGACATAACAATTACTTATTTCAATTATTACCACATGATGTGCCAAGTCTGATCTAAATAGCATTCAGGGCCACAAAAAAAAAAACCAAAAAAAAAAAAAAGATGAAATTCCAGCACGTCTGACCCGACGCTGCATTGATTTTAGCTTGTCTTGGAATTGAGCCTGTTTGAAAATGAGTTACAAAAAGTTGGTTGCTCAGAAGCTAAATGTGTCTTGTTTTCTTTACCTTGAAAATTATCCAACGAAGCATGTTACTTAAAACATTTTCTTTGACCAGCTCATATACAATGCAAACTCACATTTAAGAAACCTACTATAGAAAATGCAAATTTTTATCAGCCAATCAAGAACCTTACAGTCTGGTCTCTTACGAGGCATCCAAACTTCATGAACCACTTTAAAAAAAATTGTTTATTACTTTGCAAGCTCTCCCAGTGCATGGGAGTTTAAGTTGAATTTTTGTATAAATTAAAGTAGGTAAACAACAGTTTTTAGCTTACAGCATGCTGCTTCACCAGCAGATAAATGAACAAACCACATATAGCTCACACCAGCATTTACAACAATGTTTAATAGAAAAATTGAAAATAAGTTTTTTTCCAGTCATATCAAAGAACAGTAAAGAATAGGACATACCTAACATGTACTATCAAGTAAATTGGAAGATCAAAAATAAAACAGTGACAGTAACAACAACAAAAAAAAAAAAGAAAAAAGAAAAGAAACAGCAACAAAGAAATAATTGAAAAATCAAGAACTGTAACTTCTTGCTCATTGACCATGGAGTGGTACTGGGGAATATTGGCGCGAGGTCATGGCAGTACAGACCAAACACAGCAATGTCAGTACAAAAAAATACTGAGATCTAATATTCCCCAGTACAGCTTAAGGAAGTGAGGTTAGTGGGTAGTTTATTACATGGCAATCAAACCAAACTTGTTTTTTTTTGGTAATTTAGTGTTAGCAGTTGAGTTGAAAACTTAAATTGGCCACCATAAAGAGTAAAAAAGCTGATGTTGCAAGCATTAGCCCTTTGATTTGCCATCTTTTGTAACCAAAAATACATCGCTAATGACAATTTCCATGGAAACAGTCCCTATAGTAAAAATACTGACCTACTAAGAACCAATCAGAATTAACCTCTGGACTACCTTGCCATATAATAAATCTTGCCACTGCAGAACAAGTGGATGAACTGGATTCCTTGATGGTGCTGACATCTCATATATGATATCACCTTGGGTGAAGTAAATAATAAATAATAATTCCTGCACCAAAAAGCCCTACTTTTTAAAATGCAAGTACTTGGTAAAAAAGTTTTTAATCATGCAACAAGTAAATACTTTTTTAATAACATGTCAACTATATTCTGTAAAAGGAACTCTTGACTGATAAAAGGAACTCTTGATTGATGAAAAAATCATTTCTTTTGGAAAATGTCTTCTGGGCAATTTAACAACTTATTTTCTGGCCACTGTCTTTAAATGGTGCTTACCAGCAGTGTAAAAATTCTCAAATAACAATAAATTTTACTTTTCCTAATGAAAACATCAAAACAAATATTGAAAGCACGATGCTCTCTACCATCGAAAAAAGCTTTCTTCTCAAAGCAAGTTAAAGCAACATTATAAAAAGAACTTCACCAAATTACCATGACAGTTCACAAACAACAGATTATATAACTCAAAGTACTTGCAACCAATGTCTAAATCCCTTTTTATGATCAAGCTACTAGAGGCAAAACAGACTCCATTCTTGTTGACACAATACCACCACAAAAAAAATATCAAACCCAAAACTAAGAAAATTGGATATAATTAAACAAATTTAAAAAATATTACTATTCTTAAAACTGAAAACAATTCTTGCCTATTTTTTCTTACAGCTGAACACAGCACAAGAAAGAAAACAAGAGAACCTGTTTTATGCAACCTAAAATGGCAGCTCACAAAATGAATCGACCATTGACCCACTTGGCTGTGAGTGGGTAACTAACAAGTACAACACAACAGGGAATAAGGATAAAATCATTGTATGCATCTGTCAAAGCACCCCACATGCCATATCTGTAACCATTGTGGTTCAATTTTATCTCTAGGACACAATAACCTAATGGTTGCCTTGCTGAACTCCAGATCAAAAGTATGGATTCATTTTTCCACCAAAGCCACATTCCCTTATTCTTGGGGAAGATACTTCATCCATAATGATAATGAATAGGTATAAAAAAATATAATGGGAACCATGTTAAAATGCATAGGGGGGTGGTTAACCTGTGGTAACCATAAAACCCATCCAGGGGAAGTAATAATTTTCCTTGTCACTATACGATGTGAAAACTGGAAACTGCTCCTCATCTTTTCAAGTTTTTCTCTGGTATCAGTGAATATGTGCATTTGTAATGAAGGAAGAATAAACCAAAGATTAAACTGAACCTCCTTACAATCATGCCTCTTTCTTTTTCCTACAAGAACCTCTCACATGCACTATTCTCACATGCACTATTCTGCTTGCCTTCCAAAGCCCATGGACAGATGAATGACTATGTTCATCAATCAAGATTCCAATGAAATTACAGCACAGCTACATTCAGTGATATTCTATCTAAAGATACAAAGGTTAAGCTTTAAACACATGCACAATCCTGGAAATATGTTGTCGACAAATTGGACAGTCTGAGATCTGCTTGCCGCAGTTTGTACAAGTGACCATGTGACCACACTCGAGTAGAACACAATCTATTCCATTATCCATACAAATCTTACACTGATCCTCACTATCATCATCATCAGGTGCCATTGTACCTGAAAAAAAAAAAAAAAAGAAGGAAACAAAGCAGTTAGGAAAATACATTCTGAAGTTGACATACTTGAATTTACATACATGTGTAGTTATTACATACATTTTATAACTTGGAATTATATTTAAAAGTTTTCATGGGACCACAGTTGGTTTGAGTGCTGTTCTAGCTGGGTCGTAAGTTAGAAGTAAAACTATTCCATGAGCGTTCATAAATTACTTATAATTTAATAATATTGTTGATAGGACAAATTTACTGTAACAGAAGAAATCAATTTGCAATATCCTCAATATAGGGACTAGAACTACAAAATAACCCATGGACTGACATTTAGGGTATAACATTTTGGCCCCTTAAAAAAACTTGCTAAAATTAGTTTGAAAAGTTCATTGAAGCTTGACCTTTTGAATGATTTGTTTAGTGTTAAAAAAAAGAGTCTTCTAAAGTGAGAATGTCAAAGAGTTTTATTTATATTTGACTTTGGAACCACTGTACAGTATTTGCACCTCTAAATTATTTACATTTCTTTTGCAAGCATTTTTTTAGGTCTTAGAACAAAATGACAAAGCTATTCACCAGCCAGGGTTGGTTGGTATTGGGAAAAACTGAGCCTATCTGTGCTCTGCAAGACATCTGGTGCAGTTTTTCCCAATAAAGATCTCCTGGCTTGTGCATAGGAATAACTTATGTTTATCCTGACAGCTGACATGGCAGACTTTGGAACAATTGTAATTGCAAATAAGAACTGACGACTGGCAAACTTTGTTTATGGTAAGGGAACGTTTTTGGCTGTCATTTATAAGGCACTTTAATTTTAGCAACTTTCATGTTTTAATTAAACAATTCTGAAATAAGACAGTGCAATTAATGAGTCTTGTACTGTTTGTTTATCCATATCAACACCTTCAAAAAGTAATCACAAGATGTTTTTAAGAGTGATGAAGATGTAGCTGTACCTGCTGTTTCTATACTTATCAAGTTTTCTCTTCATTCTTTTGAAACATGATTACTTGCAAACCCTCTTTCCACAAAAACAAACAAGAAATGTTGCCCAAAAAAAATCCTTTCAGAGAAATGTACATGATCTTGGTACTTACTTTTCTTTTTGATATATTCTTGTTTAGAATTCCAGAGGGTTCTAACTCGCTCCAAGAGCTCTTCCTTTTCACAGCAGCCTGTGAAGTCCACAAAATTTGCCCTAAGAATACACTTGAGTTCTTTCACAGAAAGCTCTTGCACTTCATCTACATTCTTGATTTCACTCAGACTCTTATTCAGAGAGGCAGGTGGTGCAGAGGGGGGAACCTTGACAATAAAGAAGCACAGTAAATTAAGGGCTCCTCATAATCATCTTGCTTGATGAACATTTAACCCTTTACACCCTAACGTTGATCAGTATCCAAATTCTCCACACTCTCGTCTATACATTTCTTTTGGTACTGACAAGGAGAATTTGTTAAACAATTAAGGGCTTATTTGTGACCTTAATGTTTCTCCCAGGGGTGATATTGCAAACCAGATGCTAATCATCTTTAGGGGTTGATGGGTTAAAGAAGGCTATCAAAGACAAAATTGGAGAAGACATCCTCAGTGTTCTCCTGAAGCAATGGTGTCCAGTAATGTCACTGGCTACTCCTATCTTCAAGAGTTTTTCTTTATTTATGGCTGGCCTATTAAAACTCCCTGCCAGAGAACACTGCATCAAGCCAGTAAATTACTTTGAATAAAAAAAGGAAAAAAACAACACTTTGTGCCATGTCACTTTAAATTATTAGTAATATCCTGGCTATAAATGATGATACAGACCTGAACAGGCCGAGTTCTTTGAGTTGGTTGAGAATGCGAACTCCTTGGCTGACCTAGCCGTGTGTAAATGGCATCTGGTGCATGAGGATGTGAAGGATTTGTCTGTGATGGTTGCCTTCCTTGTTGAGGCTGAGCCGCAGTAGATGAGGGAGCTGTATTTGTTCCTCCCTCTACATGCCGTAATATTAATTCTACAAGGTCACGCTTCTCTCTACAATGATTCATGGAGATTTGTTTAGACCTTAAATATTCTTGGAGGTCTTTGACTTTCAACCTTATCAGGTGATCTCTGTATGCAATTGGGGATTGAAGGGCTCTACAGGTGAGGCAGTGTCTGCTATTCTCTCCTGGAATAAATTTAAGTTCTCTTGAAATGCAGTCATTGCAGTAGTGTCTTTTACAGTTTCGACATAGATTCTGAAATAAAATGATGAACAGTATGAAATAAGAGATGAATCAAGTCTTTCCATGCTTGTTAAAGGACATATCACAATGGTGTCAGCCAGAAATAAACTACAAATCCTTAGAAAGAAAAAGAACAATGTCAGCTAAGATTGGCAATCACATTGGTGATGCTTTGTAACATCTTACTGTTACCCTCTGCAGTCATCAAAGTTAAGGTCCAAAAGACATATTCTGAGTGGTTTACTTATCATCTAACAATGGTAACAAGTTGGGGACAAAATTCCAATAAAAGGGAGTGGCAGGGAAAATTTTGTGACAAGCAGTTTGGGGTAGTTCAGGTATCAGCATGGCTTAATTTTTATTACGATCAAATGCAATGGGTACATTTTTTAGCTTGATTTCCTACCACTTCTATGACTGATAATAAGTGCTTTAAGAAATGTAAGTCAACCAAGGCTAGAATATTATTGGACAAGCAATAGACCTTACCATAGTTGTTTTTTTTACCCCAGTTTTCATCATTTATCCAATACTATGGTAAAAACTTGAAAGTTGAAACACTGAATTAAAATGGCAATTTTACCTTTTATTGAAAGGATTCATGTTGAAAACTCTCAAGAATTCTACCTATATTAGAATTGGGCAAGTGGTATTACCAAAACTTTTTTTTTATATTTTCTGCTTAGACTTAATGTCTGAAACCAAAGACATGAAATCTATTGGAAAAAAATACACCAAAAAGTGTACAGGATAATTTATAAAAATTTTCACAATGCAAACTGTAGTGCAGAGGACCTTAAAAATTTAATAAACAGAATCCTTTCATGGCTATATTGAGTTTATTCAATCATTTGTCTGCTTTTCTTTCCAACTTGATTACCATTAAGATGGCTTTCAAAACTTCAAAACCAAGATAAGTTATATAGTAGGGAATAGCTTAATTTCTTAAGGTATAAAAAATTTAGATTAATCCTAGTTATTGAGAGTACAGACAGATCAAGTCTAGTAATTTCAAAGAGTTGAACTGATGGGAATAATTTTGTTTGAAAATTGCCTCAGCTATTTAATATTTTCTAAATATTTATGAAGATGTAAATCTTTAACTTTCTTTACAATAACTTTAAGAAATGAAGCTTTCATCAAAATATCAAGGCAGGAGCTAATCTGATTAATTTTTTTCTAGAAGACCACAGCATCTTCACATTACATATATTTCTACTTTAAAGGTGAAACTATATTAACAAGAAAAGGTTTAAATAATTACACATTTTAAACTTAGACAAAACAAATTCTATTCACACTAAGTACATCAGCAAAAACAGCAGAAAATGGGAAATATTTAAGGGATCATACCCGAATTAGACTTGGTCAAAAAAAATTCTTGTCGGTATCAACCCTCAAATTGTTAATGTAAATAACCTCTATGTTGCCACAACATTGAAAGAAACATGTTCAAATATTTACTTGGAATGAGAACCGATCAATATCTAAAGGGCACTGTTAAATAATGACGACCGGAAAATAGCTGTTTGTGGATAAATAAAGCTTTGGCTGTAGAATGTAGTCCCTTGTTTATGTCTGATATTTTGAAATTCCTTCCCGTGAAAATCTAAGCAATTACATAATTTGGACTCGAAAACGACAAATTAAAGTAAACAGTCTGAACGATGATTACGGCAACTCACATTAAAAAATATCGAAACTGCACAGTACAGAACATAATTTGAACATTCGCTTCTCTTCGATCAGGTGTTCTCTTGGTAATGGCACATCATGTTAACTATATCATTTAATTTTAAAAAATTAGAATTACCACATGAATTTAATAGGGAACAAAATGCTATTTATGGCCACTAGTCTGGAATCGATCAAAATTACCAACGCTTAATAGATTGAAATCCTTTACGTTTGCGCTAAAACGGAAAGTGAAACATTACCTGAAGGTGAAGCATTCAAATCTTTCATAAAAGCCGAGACAGACAGTGCATAAAAGTACCCTTACCATAAACAAACCAGATGCTGAATTAATCCTAAAAAAACTACCAATTCGCTTAACCTAGGCTATTACCTTCCGCTTGAACAAGGTAAAATTGGAGCTGCAGCTAAAACAGGCCATTTCTTCGAAACCGTTCAGAGAAATATTCGAACTGCTACTACCTGAGGATGCAGTTCCTCGAGTCGGACGGGAAGAGGGAGACGATGCAGATGTTGATGGTCTGCCGTTAATTACATTAAAATGCGAGCGAAATATAGCATCAACGTGTTCTGAGTGATCTCTTAGCTCTCCATTAATACCACCAGCGCCCATAACAGGCAACAAAGTAGGTGGAAAGACTAGTATTTCGGTTCAAAAATGAAACTGTAAATTCCTTAAATCGAAAACTCGACAGTGTGTAGAAGGAAACCCAAAGAACGTGCTGAGGAACTAAGACGAGGAAAGTGTTATGACGTATGATTTGAAAACGAGGCAGGATATGACCAAGAAGCGTGGCGTGTCTTGGGTTCCTGCTTTCGGTTTCACACGCTTTCTCTCTGTCATTAAATCGAAGAATTTTACCTTGTTAGGAATTTACAATGGCGGACCAAGGATGTAAGTAGCTTTTGATGCTTTTTAGTGTACTTGATTGCTAAATCTCCATCGAATATTGGCGAGATTACCTATTTCACAAGTTCACATGTCAACTGAAATCACTGAAGCTTTCCATTGTCACGCTCGCGAATTGCTTAAACAGTGTTCTAAAAGTACCGATTCAAACGATCCAAAGCCTATATCATGTAAGAGAAACGTGTAAACTACTTCTTGAGGGAGGTATTTAGTTTGTAGTACTTTTGATCGACATCTAAAGCCAGAAGCTCACACTTATAATGACAAGGTGGTCATTTTGTGTAGGGTATACAACACAATATTTGTCAAACGTCTCGAAGCTTGCTGCTTAAAAATATTGTGGAGGCAGCGGCTTTGTAGCCATCATTTACTGAGGAAGTGGTTGCACACGAGTATCCCAAAAGAGTGTCTGGTCAAAAGCACGGAGAAGTTGATCAGGGTTACCGAATAAAGCGTCGGCTGACAAAAATTTCCTTCTGTGATATTTCAGCAATTCCACGGTAAAATATGAGATAAAAGTAGGATTCATTCTTTCAATTTGGAGGTGACTGAAACATGAATGAGAACTTTTTGCTTGGCTCCAGATTAACAAATCAACAGACTTTTATCCATTGTTTACTTGTCACTGACTACTAGGTTACTGTTGGTTTCAACCCCCCTTCCCAATGTTTGTTCTTTCACTCACGTCTATTATAATAATATATTGGTGATTTTTTTCCCTCAGATGGGGGTGGATATGGTCAGAGTGGTGGGGCAGCAATGTATGGTGGAACAGGAGGTGCTAGGTGAGGCAGTTAAAAGGAATGATTCCTCTTATGTTGTGTTTGAGAGATGACCAGTTCTCATTAAAACCCAGCTTGCTGGCAAGCCTTCTGCAGCTATTTTAAACATTTAACTCTTGAGAGTGACCAGCAGTTAATTTCTCCTCACCTTTTCACCCCTAAGTCAAACATAATGGTTATAAGAATAAGGGAATTGATTGCCAACTTAAGAGGTTCTGGACTTTTCACAAATTATCCTTGTTAGTACCATAGGAAACATGTAAAGAACTGGACAGAGAATATGCACACAGATATTAGGAGATGCAGGGTCAAATATTTCATCTTGCTCTAAAATTAAAAGGTCTATGGTCTAAATTCTCCATGTTTGAGTCACATCTCTTTATAGATAGAAACCTTGATCAAGAGAAACTTTTAGAGGAGGACAAGAACTAAGAGGAATAGATATCAATTCTTCTTTGAAGTCCTACCCCTCATTCAGTGCTATGATAACTATAGTAGTACCTGTTGTAATTTGTCTTTAACATTTTTGTCTTAGTTATGGTGGAGCTCAAAGTTACCAATCTTCTGGTTACCAAGCTCCTACCAGCTCTTACCAGTCAACTGGTTACCAGGCCCCAGCTCAAGGAGGAGCTCCAGCATATAGTACAGCAACTGGATACCAGAGTGCCTCAACAGGTTACACAGGCTACCAGACAGACAGCAGCTCAGGTGGCTACCAGCAAGCATCTTCAACACAGTACCAGGGGTACGAACAGCAACCTCAGAGTGGTGGCTACTCACAAGCGAGTGGAGGATCAAGCTACCAGCAACCACAGGGATACCAACAGACTGGAGGGTATCAATCTGGTGGTCAAGGTGGTTATGGCAGCAGCCAGAGCAGTGGAGGTGGATACCAAGGTGGTGGGTATCAAGGTGATGGTGGACGCAGTAGTGGTGGATATGGACAGCAGGGCTCTTCCTATGGACAAGGAGGAGGAGGAAGAGGAGGTGGCTATGGAGGAGGAAGAGGGTAGGTTCTGATTTTCATTCTATCACCTAAACTTTACTGATGACTATGGAGATGTGTCCTCTTGATTTTTGGGTTAGATTTAAAAAGATTGTACCTTTTCCTTAGAACTGTGCATGTTAAAGGTTGGGGGGAGACTGGTGTGCATTCTTTTAATTGTTGTTCTGGCTCAAAACTTTCTCAGGAATTTGTTATAGCAATTAAAAATTAATCAGAGCATTTTCTCCGCGATATGGGATATGGATAAATGTTAAATTTCAATAACTTCTGTTACTTCAAATTTGTTGTTGAATTTGTACCCATGTTTAGTAGTCTCAATAATTCAACCAGGTGGTTCAGGTTTTTGAACAAGAACAATTCCCTCTCAATGTATAGTTTAACCATTAGGGAAGGTAAAGAATTGGATTTGGGTGTTGAATACATTTACATCATGTAACTGGTTACTGACTTTCAATTGTGATGATTACAATCACAGGTGCCTCTGCTCTTTGGAGCAAAATGTTTTGTAGCAAACTGTAACATTTTACCCCTAGACATGTATTTGTTGCTAGTAATAGGATTATCTTTCTAGTATCTGAGCTGTGTGTGTATTGTGCACTTGTAAGCTGTGTGTGGGTTGTAGGGGAGAGTTTCTAAAACAGCTGTGGTGCTGCGTCCTTGGGGGTTGTTCAAGATAAATTTTGCTTTATCAACTAAGTTCATTAACTAGTTTGGCCACCATCAAGAGTTTCTAAAGCTGATGTTTAAAGGTTTATCCATTTGTTAGAGCGAATGGGCAAGGGGTGAAGGGCTAAGGCTTTATGGTGGTAAATTTACATGATCAACTCAGTTGATAAAGCAAACTTATTTTGTGTGTGGCCATGTTCACTATTTTGCTTTCTGATACAATCTTATGGAAAAGACTTGGAGTTGATTTCAACATGCCTTAAAACAGGGTACCTTTAAATGCACAGTGAAATTTTGCATATCACTTCACAGTTACTGATTTTTACAAAATGTATTTTCAAGAGTGAAATAAAAATGATTCTCCAAAACCTGTAAAAAATTGGAACATCAATTTGGGTCAATGTAGTTCATATTTTTTTGTCAATCTTTCCAGAAATTTGATGATTTTCCTCTATTGTGCAAATTGGTTTATCCTGTCTTGTATCCTGTCTTGTGTGGAATGTTGAAATCATTGCTAAGTTAGGGCTGATGTGCTATTTCCTTGTTGCACTTTTTATTAAACTTGGGTTTTAGGGAACTATTCCTGTGCTGGTGAACAGTGGTCATACTTAGCGTGCACTGTGTAAAAGATTTCACACAATGGGGTGATGAATGTTTTACCTCATTGCGGAGGGTTTTAAGCACTGGTATGTCCATGGCTCATCCTAATGGAACTATTCTGGGTATATGAAATTACAGATCGTTCAGGCATTATAGAATTGTTGTCCACACCCAAAACCACAGCAGGGTTCAGAAAAGAGTGGGTTGAGCTTGGATTTTCCCACCAGGGTAGCAATTGTTCCTAGTGCTGATGACAAAAAATGTCAAGTTTGAAAGATTTAATGAGAGGATTTGTTGTCAGGGTAATATTTTATAAATACTGTAGGGATTTAACTCTATCTTTAATGTACTGGTAAAGATAGGCCTTTGAAAAAAAATAAAAATAAAACAATGAGGGGTATGCCAAAAAAAGTGGTACACAAGATATTTCTAGTGTCTTGGTATCTCAGATATTTGTTCCACATAAACAAAGGAACTTCCAGCTGGAAAGACAATTTCAAAAGTGACCAGGGCTCTCAAAATGTTTTGAGTGCATGAACAGCTTTCTTCGGGGTTACATGTACATCACAAGTTCCCTTATGGTTTAGTCAAAGTCCTACGTTGGGCAGTGGTGTCCTTGATTAAGAGATGAATCTTGAAGTAAAAGTTACAGATAAATTTTGGATGAGGGGTCTTGGGAAAAGACTTGGCTTGATCTAAGTAAAAGATTATTAAAAGAAATCGGTCATTAATTTATTTAAGATTCATATAAGGAACAGACTCCACACACCCTGTATATTCCATCTAAAGTGCTTAGGATAGTTGATCAGAAGAAAATTTATTCGGAAAAAGTGGCTAGTATAGCTTTGTCTTCAGTGGGTGGCAGTAAAGTTTAAGCACAGCTTGTGAGAATACTTGGAGTCAAATTGGGGGATGGAATAAAATCCTATTTAGGGGAAAGGTTAAGGAGTACTTTTAAAGCCTACCAGTGAAATATGCTTGGGGGACAATGTAAAATTTCTCTCTACCTTGGAAAAGTATATCATATGAAATAATGATTCTGACTGAGTTAGGAGATTTCAAACAGTAACCCTGAATGATGGAAAATTGCCTTCAAATGTGTTAAAATTTCTACTCTGCATGCAGCCATGTTGAATTGTGCTTATCAACCAGGTTGCTTACCTGTTTCATAACAAAGTCGTAGTCTTCATTTTCCATATCTTGGCAATCTATTTGAAAGGTTAGAGCTGCTCAAAAGGGCACTCTTAACTCAAATATAGATTTTTTTTTATTGTGATCAGAGAAGCAGCTGTCGATGTACTGGGCAATTTGGCTTTGCATATGTGGCAAGATTACCAAGTTATTTTCAAAAATTTTTTTAACACATTTGAAGAGAATTTTAGAATGGTAAAGTTACTCTTTGAAATTCCAAACTGAACAGTTATAGGGGAATTTTACTATATATACTTTTTCAATGGCATAGAGATAGTAAATTACATGGTTCCTGGAATGCACTCCTCCTGTAACAATGCAAGAATTGCGGTAAACTTCAAAACTTGCAACCTGCTACTGTTATTCTTGACTAAGTTTAAAATGCATTTAAAAGATATCCCTTCTACTCCCAAGATCTAATTAGTAATTCTCCTTACTGTCTGCTAAACAATTCTCATGATGTTAGTTTGGATAATTTGGTATTGGATCAACTAATAATCCCCTAATGGATATTTTTCTTTCCTCTCATCGCTTGTCTGGTTGATATTGTATTGAAACTGTAAGGAGAATTTCTGTTTGGGTCA